AATCAACGTTCAGAGCCAAGACACTCTTCATTTTATAGAGAAATGTTTAATCTACTCAATTATCTAGTAGTAATTTTAGATTATTTTCTAACTTTATTGCCATAGTTCTTTGAAAAAGAGCGAAAAATGGAGACCGTTAACTGGACAAGCCGCAGGAACATTTAAAAGTTTGTTCAAAACGTTATCTGACCGTCAAAAACAGAACCAGTTTCAATGACTCGATTTCGATGGACAACTGTGTTTTATTTTGAAATTGAAATATTTTAACATTTTGTACAATAGTCGTTTCAACGAAACCACCACGAAATCACTGATAATAATAATGTATCAGAATCAGGAAAGCAGTACAAATTATGTGAGATCATCTTATATTATATAATGAGTTACGGTTAAATAAAAGTACTATTCGAAATACTGTAAAACTCTTGTCGTTATATCAACACTTAATGGACGGGTATATTTTGTACGTCCGTGTGAAAAAACATGTACAAATACGTTTTCCGTCAATTAACTGTTAATACTCAAGATAAGAAGAAAAGACAGATACGCCAAATATTCCCGTTGTGGTAGCTGTTTCCTTTCATTTCAGATTCGCACATAAGGATCTTATACCCACTCGTATCGCTTTTACAGTGGGACTGTTTATACCATTTTGAGATCAGTATTGAGGCCAATCTTTATAAGATAACCTTGTAAAGCAAATGCTAATAATCGAGCGACACTACACATGACAGTAATTACAGCCCACAGATAGGAGTCATATATAAGATCTTTTAAAATGTCTTAGCTGCTCATAGGACTGAGAAGCTGGTTCTCTAAGGCATCCACGAAATTCAGTATTTGAACTCATGAAAATCACCAGGTTTAAATCAACTAAACTGAAGTGAACCTATGTTGCTCAAATCTTCTTGTCTTGAAAAAAAGTATACTCTCATAATACGTGTATAACAAGAAATAATCAGCCAGTTTGTCCGAATGAGTGGAGCCACTTTCGTCTATTCTTTAACAAAGACACTGTAAAACTACACTTTACCTATCTATAAAGAAAAATTCAAGTGGTCTGACTTTACCCATAGTAATAGTACATAATAACATCAAAAATAGTAGAAAAGTTGTGTGACCATTTTCATGAATCACTACCATCTACTGAGTGAATGTCTTTCCTACGACCGTTACACTTGCATTTACCACGCTGTTGTTGAATATATCTGTCTGAACAATAAGATTCGAAGAAGAGAATGTTTTTTTTTGTCATATTTTTTTCTGTTTTCTATCCAAAAATATGTGTGTTTTTGGTTGTGTGCGTATGTCAGCGTGTATTTGGGTGTGTATCCACGTTTTTCTCTTTTATCTGCAGGCATTTTTCATTCCTTATGTTAAGTATAAATTATTGTTCCTCCGCGACACTGGTAACAACGAGGAGTAAAACACCCTCTTTCAGTATCACAAGTGAGATGTGTATGTCAAAATAAATAGGTTAAGCCAACCATCATACCTTCTTCAAATAATACAGCAAGTGCGATGCTGTTAATGTCAATATTTAAAATGAGTTCCCAGTTCATAACCATTTAACAAAATGAAGCTTATTGTACAACTAAAATTCATGGTATTCTGTCCTGTTCAATTTATTTGTCTGGAGAAGATGAAATTTGAATATTTGAGTTTCCATTGCGTTATTCCAAAGCTTTGATTTCCAACTATTCGGATCTGACAACTTCAATGGATGACGAAATTCCGTAGGTTCTGGCCAGCTTTCGTTTTCGAGTAAGCTATAATGGTACGATGGAAATATACCCGTAGTAAGAGCTATTTTAAATGAGTTAGATGCTCTTCGATACGCATTCCAAATATATCCATCAGGGTTTAGTAAACACGGACGATATTTGTATTTATTAGTGTTATATGGATCGGGACTATAATATGTTCGTTTTATGTTGGTAATATTATTCAATAAATTGACGGATGAATTATAAATAGCTCTATCGTTCTGATACGGCCAGTGGTTGCACAATGAACCAGATAAATCAACAAGTGTTGTTATTATAATTTCGCAAAAAACTTCTGGATATAAGGACATGACCAGAGAAACGACTTTTACAAACATTCGTAATTGATTATCAGCAAATGGGATATAAACTACATCGGCATAACTTGTTGTTAAAACATTGTCAGGACCGTATAATATCTTGAACACGTTTCGATACTCTTTAGGTAAATGTTTATTGAACATATCACAAAAACGCTGCCATCCATTCTGGTAATGCCACCAAAAATTTCTTAATTCTCTAGGACCTAACTTTCCACTTGTAACATTTACATAATTTATAGATGAAGGTATCCAAAATTCATCCAATGAATAGCGTTCCGGATTAGCAAATACCTGAGTGAAATTAAAGAAAACATCATCAGCAAGATATAACACACCATGTAATGTTGACAATATATTAGATTGCTTAAGTTTATCCCCAAATTGTGCACACAATGAAATACATTTATATTGATAATAACCACGTGTTGTGTTAGCACATTCAATGTGATAAAGATTTGTTTTATTAAGATGCTGCAGTGTAGTATTCATTTGTTGTAATAGCAGATGATTATTTGGCTCTTGTACAATTGACGTTTGTCTGACATTGAATTGTTTTAATATTTTCTGATTCATTGGCGATAATTTATCTAATGGTGACGGTGTTAGAATAACCAAATATTGATGTATCAGAGAATAATAGGTTAATATTGATTTTAAAGAATGGCCGTTCACATCGGGATCCAGATTATAATTAATACAAATACCGATTGCTTGTTGTCTTAAAATAGATGGTAATGACGAGGAATTCCGCGTGTGATTATTGTTATGTTTGGCATGGGGACCTTTCAAGGATGGATAAAATTTGTAGAAATGTGTTTCATCAAGTTGTGCTGGTGTCGGTTGAATTTGTCGCGACGAAGGCGATAGTTGAATTTTAAATTGCCTCGTGGTGTCGTCATTGTAATAAAGAAACACAACTAGTACGAGTAGCAGAGAAAATATCAATAAAATATTTCGGCAAAGAGAAGTACAAAGTGAACCAACCTTTTCATTATCATTCACCTCATACGTCATTTGTTTGTGTGTACAAGTAAGTAATCTGAAATGATAAAAACGAACCGAAATTAAAGAGAAGCAAGAAAAATTTTGTAGTTAGATTATTTACCGGCGTAATGATGAAATTCTTTTTTTAATATAAACTTTATTTTTTCAAATAAGTAGTTCTAACTGAGACAGATAAGCCCCAGTATTATCGTCCTGTCTGCCTAATGAAGAACAGCAAAAAAGATTGATATAGCAAAAGGAGAATAAAAGAATAAAATATTTTCTCTTTTAAAAGTATAGTTATCTGATTGTATAGTAATATTTACTTTTATCTAATTTAATCTTGTTTATTCAGACAACTATTCTAAATGCAAAGATCTATTTCAGGTTTTATCACACACTTATCTACACATGTTGATATATTTAACTTGTTGACAGGTAATAATTTCAATATAAATGTAAGAGTAACAGCTGCCGTCACTCTTAAATTTACATGTTAATATGTTTTTTGTAAGTATAGATTGACAAAAGAACAGAAGAAGAGACAACCCTAGTAAAAATCTTAGACACTTCTTATAATTATCTTATAAAATTTTCTTCTAGACTCTGCTAGTACTTGCTCTCTTGAAAATGATCAACAACTTTTCTAGAGAGTGTACATGTAGGCCAAGGACCATAGTTGGACACCTGAAAATACGAAGTTTCTCTTCATTTTTCAACACTGTTCAACTGCTGCTGTGGATAATGCGGATTAAATCCGAAAAATTTTCAACGAACCTCGTATGAATATTATTTAAAAAGCGTCATCGTTCTCACTACTAAGATCCTAACAGATTCTTATCCAATCTTGAAAAAAGCGTAGACAGCATAATCTTAGTAAGATCTTTGAAATATCTTATAAACATCTTACGGGGAACGGCTCCCAAGTGTACAATCGTTTTTTCTTTGAACTCTAGTGGACAAAAGGTAATCGACTGCGCTAAATCCGAATCTGACATCGGTTTGTGCTGCTACACCTCCAGAGATCGGATTTATTGAATTTACACGAAAATCCCTAAATTAATTTCTTTTTATTTCTGTAGCTTTGAGCAACAATGAACAATTAAGGCTTTTCGTGTAAATGCTATAACTTTGTAAAGGAAGGCCTTGTAGAGCTGGGAGATATCTCATTTTAATCAGAAATTTGCGATCTACAATCATGTCTCATTAAGAAAGGTTTTAGTTATTTTCTAGAGTTTCTGAAAACCTGATTTTCCAGAAACCCGGTCTCTGGAGGCCTAGCAGCACAAACCGATGTCAGATTTAGATTTAGCGCAGCCGATTACCGATTGTCCACTAGAGCTCAAGCAAAAAACGATTGCACACGTGGGAACCTTTCCTCGTTAGTAAGATTTCGCTCACATTTGTCTAAGATCTTAGAAAAATCTTATCAAGTCTTAGAATTTTCGGGTCTCACGATCTTCGCAAGATTTATCTGAGATCTTACGAGGGAACCTCTTGAGATTATAAATCGCTTTTGAACTCAGACTAATTTTATCTTGTAGATATCAGTGAGTAGCGAAATACTCGAAGTTGGTTTGTGCCCATACTGGATTTTTAGTCAGTTTTTGCCTGTAGAGCTCAGATTTCGAGCAAAATCCGACTTTCCAAGTTTGATTTCAAACTTGCCACACTTGTAGCCCATGGTCATAGTAGTACGACGGAAAAATGTTTGGCGCTAATGAATTTTCCTGCTTTGAGATATTGAGACTCGGATATTTGACCGTCTCCCTTACCTTCTGGTGAAATGTTCGAGTCTCAATATCGCAAGGTACGAAAATTTGTCGTTAGACAAATGTAACCCAAATCTTACTAAGACCTTAACAAGATTTTCTAAGATTCTTAGTAAGATTCGAGTAAGTTTTCCACTATGGAATAAAAACTAAAAATTACTGATAGCTTCTCTCATATGTGACAATAAACAGTAGATAAGAGAGGTAATGAATTCTAACGTTTAAATGAGAATCATGACTTTTAATATTCCAAAAGCGATAATGAAGTCAAATGTCCCAATTAAGATAAAAAAATGAGACAAAATAGGAGATTCAAAAGAGTTAATAAATTTTCATTTGAATAAGAAACAAATAAAGCAATATATGTGACTTTTGTACACGGTGCATAATTACGCATGTAAAAACTCTCTTACACGCACAATTGTTCAGGCATCATCTTCTTTATCTTTTTTTATTGATTTGTTTTCCTGTTTGTGCAATGCACTATAAACTTTTGCTAGGAGTATTTCTAGATATTTAAATTCTTTGTTAATTTGTACGTCTGTTTGGCATCAGTCAGTCGTTGTTCATTTATTTACTATTTGATTTTGCTATTCTGTTTGATGATAATTCTTGATAACTTTCTTGTTCATGATCAAAATGAGCACTCTCTTTCTTGTTATTTTCCAGCAAGATCGATATATCTAGAGGCGTAGCCATTTTACTAAAAAATATCACTGGCTTTGTGTATACTTTCAAGCAATCAATAGCACTTACGAAAAACTGGCCAGTCAACCAGTATAAGTACTGCTACTGGTGCATTCCTAACCGTGAGATACCCGTTTCAATAAAATTAAAATATCTCAGCTTTGTAAATTGATAGAAATATCGGATTTGCGTCAGCACTTAAGTTGATGTCCAGACTACTGATCACCCTGGTCACATATGCTACCACATATGTCACGCGGTCAATGATAAGTCATCATCTTTGGATTTCACAGCTATTTTTGAAACATCTTTTCTGACGGGAGAAGAAACATCTTTTGGATATCTTTGCATCATCGTGTAGTTAAGTAGTTACTGTATGAAAAGAAAATTTGAGAATATTAAAACCCGGTTTTCATCCCTAAGAAAGCTTTTTCATCAAACAGTAACGTCATATTCATACTCAGCGTAAAAAACTGCATTTAGCGATGTGTTATTCGACCTTTAGCGCGAAAGTTTTGCTTTCATCTAAAATAACACATGCAGGCGTTTTAGCAGTGGGAAACAGCTTATTTTTGGAGTTTCGATGAAAAGCGGGTTTTAATATTCTAAAATTTTCTTTTCATACAGTAACTACTTAACTACACGATGATGCAAAGATATCCAAAAGATGTTTCTTCTCCCATCAGAAAAGATGTTTCAAAAATAGCTGTGAAATCCAAAGATGATGACTTATCATTGACCGCGTGACATATGTGGTAGCATATGTGACCAGGGTGATCAGTAGTCTGGACGTCAACTTAAGTGCTGACGCAAATCCGATATTTCTATCAATTTACAAAGCTGAGATATTTTAATTTTATTGAAACGGGTATCTCACGGTTAGGAATGCACCAGTAGCAGTACTTATACTGGTTGACTAGCCAGTTTTTACTGGGTACCCAGTTAACTGGTACTAGTGCATACCTACTCGTGCTCAAACCGCTATTTTTGCCTCAGGACTAGTTTTAAAACTTCATAGCTCAGTGCGCATACATTATTTTTTCAATCACCAAACGTCATGCTACTCAGAAATGTTTGCTTTTTCATATGAGATTGAAAAACATCGAAATTGTTTTGTATCCTGAACACGTGTCTATTGCAGTAGATAGTGGCGTCATATCAAAAGGAAGGTATCTAAATATGTAGTCAATCATTCTTTAGACTTTAAAGGTGTCCTGAGATCATGTCCTGAGGTAAACCTATGTTGCTCAAATCTTCTTGTCTTGAAAAAAAGTATACTCTCATAATACGTGTATAACAAAAAATAATCAGCTAGTTTGTCATAATGAGTGGCGTCACTTTCGTCTATTCTTTAACAAAGATACTGTAAAACCACATTTTAGTGGTGATGCTTCCTGTAGCAACAAAGCTTTATTTGAATAAAAAAGACAAGAAGAACCAAAATATCTGTCTCTGCAGGCAAAATCAGACACTAAGCAGAACTAAACAAAAATGAGATTACAGTCCTTTGGAGAATAGTTACATAGAGAAGCAATTTCAACAGAAAAGAGACGGACACCTATCAATAAAGAAAATAAAAGTAGTCTGAACTCACTCATTGTAAGAATACATCATACCATCGAAAATAGTAGAAAAGTTGTGTTACTATTAAGTGTTCAGCAACTGTGGGATCCATATAGAACATTTTCCATAAGAATCCTCGTTTCTTTATAGAATTGCTCACATTGTATAATCTGAATGAGTATTACCGTCAAAATAGACGATAGTCTTGTGCTATAACAGGAAAAAAAGTTTCAAAAATATGCAGATAATGTTTGATTTTTTTTTGACAGTTTTAGTAGGTGACTTTAATGGAAAAAATATGATGTTTGTTGGTTATTTATTATGTAAATGTTAACATGTTTAGAAAATAGAAGTGATATTGGTCAACGATAATGATGCTGTGATGATCAGTGTGTTGATTAGTACGGCAGATAAAAGTTGAAGTTGAACACAGAAAATGACGTGAAAATTAAGCTAAGCATATATAGCAGGAAAGGCTGAATGTATCTATGTTCATGGTTTACCCTTCTTTCAAGCAGTCGATTGTATAACACCATGCACTGCTCAGTACCTTGGAGGAAATATGTCGTGTAGGTAAACGAGCACATGATGTATAATCATTTTATGCACGCGGTAGAGCGTGAACGTTTTATCTTGTGCTAT